GCCAGGCCTGATGAGCAAGGTAGGCGAAAGCTCCGATAGGGGCCCAGAACTCCCCAAACACCCTCCTAGCGGCCCCGCCTCTCTCTGAGGTGAGCTCACAATAGCGTCCCTGACCCCGCCCTCCAGCCCCGCCCCCAAGTCCTGCTGTAGCAGAGCAGAACCCTTCGAGGTGAGGGTAGAGGACAAGCTCCCCGCGAGGGACAAGACAGTAGTGAGGAGGCGCTTGGGATGAGCTGCCAACCTCACCAGAGGCGGGAGAAATAGGCCCTCCCACTGCGGCCGCCTGGGCGCCCCTCTGCGGGCGGAGGTCGTAGCCCAGCCGCTGGCTGAGTCTCCGCCAAATTGCGGAAGCCGAATAGTGGCGTCCAGTCGGGAAGAGAAAAGGGTCGGCTGGGGCAGGGTCCCCAGCGCTACCAGCCCCACCCCTAGTGACCTAGACGCTACTCACCCGGCTAGGCCTTCAGTTCCTCTCCTATAGGGCTACAACGTGAAACTTAGCATTTGTTTTTCATGGCCCATAATTACCTACAATTCACAGTCTTTGGCCCAGTATTCATTTTCCTCCAAAATTTGGCCCCATGTAATTCCACTGGACAGTGCCGCTAATGTAATCGGTTCTGTAAGCCCTTTGCTGGTCTTCATGCCTTTACTATATGCTTGACCCATTAGGCCGTTCTCCTTTTCCTCCCTGTGAATGAAGCCTATCTAAGGGCCCCCTCGGCTCCTTCCTCCTGTTGACCCTCCCCATTCTCTGAATTCCCATAACAATTTCTTTACTAAGAGCTTGGGTCTTGGGAGTCAGTTCAAATTTAGTTTAAATTCCAGATCTGCCCTTTACAAGTGGCGTGAGCTTAGGCATTCTGTTTCAAATTCACCATTCTCATCTATAAAATGGGGATAATAGCACCTACCTCCTAGGGCGGCTATGATTAAGCACGTATGAAGCACTTAGCACCGTGCCTGGCTCATAGAAAAGTACTTCATAAATTATAGGTGTTTTCATCATCATTTGACGATAATGTATTGCCTCATACTGTAATTTTTTTCCTGTGTGGCATGTTTTTCTAACTGGATTGTGAAGTACTCATTGAAAGTCTTTGGTATCTCCTACCATGTCTGGTACAGTGTTGAGCATATAGTTGTAGCTCAATTAATGTTGAATGAATGAATGAATGAATGAAAATCAGTCCTGCTCAGCTGGGTCCCCCTATGTATGGTCCTTAACCAAGTTCATTTAAAAAATTCCATAACATAAATCCGTGTCACTCAACTAAAACATCAGAACCCTCATCATCTCACATACTTGTTGTTTTCTTAACAATCTGGGTAACTTTCTTAAATATTGCAGCAATCCATGTGATGTGCCTCCATGCTATTAGTCTAGGGGTAAATAAAACTAGATATTAAGTTATATCATTAAGTCTCTTTTGGAATCTAAATATGTACTCTTACTAGAACTCTCATGTATTCTGTGTCTAAAAGCTGGGATCATTGCTTCTTTTCATTACTGCTTTCATTCACATTGAGTGCTTCTTCAGGAGTCCATTTTGCAGTCATAGGGGAAATAACTGATGCCCTTTGCTCATTATCTGGCATTTCCATCCAGTATAGAAACATTTTCAGTTTCTTGATCTCATTCTTTGTAAATTTTGCTATACACACATACACTCTTTTCAGTGTACAGCCAGCTTACATTCTTAGGCTTTGGTCTATGCTTTAATGCATATTATACAAGCTATATTTTTTAATAAGGTTGAAATTCAGGGATAAAACTAAAAAGGAAGGCTACTACTAATTAGCTTTTAAATTTCTAAATGAATTTTAGTGATTTATTTTGGACTAGAAGTTGTGCTATATAAAAATCAGACCTGTATCTTAGTATCTTCATTTTCCTAGATACAAAACCTCCATGTCTTGGTCTCCATATCTATGAAGCCTTTCTCTGGTTGTAACCCAATAGAAACCTGTCTCCAGGTCATTTCTCAAATTTTTGTCAAGAATCAGATGAAATGTGATGGGGTATGTTACTGTTTCTGAAGCTGATTCATGATCTTCATAAAGTTGTAAACTCAGAACTGGATCCTGGGGTAGCACCATGTAATGACTTCTCTGACCCCAACCAAAGAGTCTATCCATTGGCCTGCCACAGGGACGTCAGCCAAGGAAGTTCCCAAAGAACAAGTCAGTGTCCAAGGCAGAATCCAACAAATGTTTCTCTTAGTAGGTTCAAGTCTTTACTTTTTAGAAAAGCACTCTATCTTTGACACACAGGAGAGGGTTCTTTCTGAACCAATTTGCAAAATAGCCAATTAGCCAAATTTAATTAATTCTATGACAGTTTAACTTTAGTTGTCTGGAGAGCATTTTGTTTTTCATCACAATATTTTAAAGAATGTTGAATTTGTCTCTGCTCCAGCTTCCTATAGCTACTTTGAGACAAAGAAGTAAAGAGAGGAAATACCAAGGATTATAAAATTTATTCACAGTGAAGAATATATTTATAAATATATTTAAAGAACATATTCTCAAAGAATGTATTCAATTTTTGCCTGCCCCAGCTTTTTGATGCTGTACCTAGAGACCGAGGTGAAAAGAAAAAAGAATATACTGATAAGAATTCTTCTCATTTAAGATGATGTTCTTATGACCAGTCTTTCCATTTTTCTGTCCTCAGACACCAACTGTAGCAGCAAGGAGCTAAGGCAGAGACAAACTGAATAGTCCTTAAAATGCTGTTATGGAGATAAACACTCAAGTGACAACACACAAGTCTATTTGGTAAATTGCTCATTCAGTAAACTAGCTCTTTTTCAAAGAGCTTTTGGCCTTCAACAAACTAGCCTGCCTCCTAGGTGACCTTGTTAGACACAACCCTGTATCCCAAATGAAGCTATTTCACCATTTTTGCTGAGAGCAATCGTGATGCTACTCATCGACGTTAATAGTTACTTTAGGGATTAATGGTTGCAGTGTATTTTGGGAAAAAAACTTCAATGTTCTGAGGAAATACTTCTTCAAGTACTGGCCACTGCTGTGATACTCCTTGCCTCCTCATGTTGCTACCATTTCTATCTCTTTCAGTAGTCTCAGATTGTGGGACTAATTTTAAACCCAACAGAGGGTGCTTCTCACGAACATTCTCTCTGTCCTGCCCCTTATCTGTCTGAAGTGAAAAAATAGATGAGAATTTGGCTTAAGGACCACAGCCCAGACAAAAACACAATAGGAAAAATAAGCAGGGTATGGGGGGAGCAGGATCTAAAGGACACTGGACATTGCATCCTCTTGTGTACACTTTGGTTACATAATCTGCTTTGGGATATTTCGTTTCTGAGATCTCACCCCCTAATCTAGAGCATTTTACCACCTTCCTCATCAATTTAACACTCAACATCTTTGAGGCAGCTGAGCATCATGGAAGGAGAGATTGCAACTCTTGAAGAGTTGAGGCCAGCTTCCCCCATTCGTGGCTCCCACATGCTAATCAGCTCCCCAGAAACCCCAAATCCTGGCCTTACTTTCTTGAAATCCTGCTATTTGATGCTGAGGAAGAAGACAGTTGGAGGAGATCAGAATTTGGGGCTCATGTGAGCCAATGGCAACATGCGTTAAAGAGATAATCTTGAAAGAATAAGGGGGATATGAAAGAGACCTCAGAAACCGATCTTGTGAGAGAACAATCCTTGCTCTAACTTCTCAGTCACAGTGTGCCTGCTGTTTGCCAAAGGACATTAGTGGTCATCTTAATCAGGTCTGTCCTTTCTTCCATGTCA